GTGTAACGGATCTTTTCGATACCCATGGGGAAAGTTTAGCAGGTACCACGGTGTGTACACGCGTGAATATCGTGAAATGACTTGTGATCGCACGTGAACATCGTAAAATGGTGTGTGAGCACGCGTGAGAAATATATTCCACTTGTGACAACGGGTGAACTGGTCACGAAAACGATTCACGTCATATTTTTTGCACGTGATCACAGGTGGAAGTCGTGAAGTGTGTAGTGGCCACACGTGAATTTCTCACGTTAAAATTCGCGTAAAAGAATATCACTTGCGGACAAGCGTGAAAATGTTTCCCACTAATTTCATTGTGGAAAATATCTTCACATTTATTCGCACGTCAGTTTTTCACGCAACCCATTTCATAAATAATATTCACGCTTAACCCCAAGCGACAAAATCCTTACGTTTCACGTGCGTCCACGTGAGAAACCTTTTACAGATGCGAAATGTCGTGAAGATTGAGCGACAAGCATAAATACAAATTTCTCCTATATCTTCCGAAAGTTATACATACATACAGATGAAAACCTTTGCTGTAGACCGAAGGTATTTGCTGTAGAAATATGCCTGGGAATCATCTTGTTCCCCGGGAGGAAGTATTAACTGAAGAAGTTTGGAAAAGTTGGAAACTAAGAAAAAAGATTTAGGAAGTTCACGAGTAATCACGCGTGGGAACTTTTTTACATGTGGTAACTCGTGAGGATTGATTCGACAACTATGAATATGAGATTTATTCAGTAGTTTCTCAGGCAAGTTAGCTCAATAGTAGTATCGTAGATTTCTAATTTAAAGTACCTTCGACTGGTTCGACTCTTACTTTGCGGTGATATATATAAAATGTGATATGTTAGAAACTAGTGGTCACACGTGGAAAAAGTTATATATGAAGTTGCATTGATGAAGTCTGCATTATACTTTAACCATGGTGACCATGGATAGTCAGTTGACTATAGATGGTCGCCATGGTCAAGATTTTTTCACACGTAATCATGCGTGAAGATTATTCACTTGTGTACACGTGTGAAGATTTTTCACGCGTAGCCACGCGTGTGATGTTGCAACAACACGGCCAAACTGTCGTGAAACTTGCTATCTTTACCTACAAAATTTCGTGAAAGTCCAAGCTGACATTTCACGGTCCCTCACGCGTGAAAAGTCGATAAAATTAACAATCCCGATAGATGATTTCTGAATAAAAGACGACTATAAGGTTTTAACCACAGAACGGGATATATGTAGATTTGTAGAGGAAGATTTCTTGTAATCTAGTGGTGAATATATTATCAAATTCTGTTGCGTTTCGTGAGAGAAAATTAAAGGTAATTCCTCTTTTTTTCGACCTTTTTACAAATATTTTTTATTTTTGAGTTAAATATTGTGCATTCTAGAGTAAAGTGTCCTCTACAAAATAAGACCACTCCCAGCTCTCCAAGGTCTTCCGTTGAGGAGATACGAATTTTTTTAAAGTTTATTACTTTACTCTGAAAAAACCCTGGTTTTTTACTTTCAAAACTTTTTCTCTTTCATTCAGTACTTGACAAACTTTTGAAACAGTCACTCTTGTAGAGTAAAGGTTTCTCTACAAAATAAGATGTATCCCTGCTCTTCATCGTGTTTTCTGGTAGAGTTATGATCATTTTGCTGGAAGTCTTTGAATAAAGCAATAAACAGAAACCTCTAATTTTAGTCATTAACAACATAAACACACTTCTCCGTCAACAGATGTTGCAAATATTAGCAAAAAACAAACACGAACAAATATATTTTCCACTTCAATTGATTATATTAGTCATCATCGTTCGTAGCACTATAAAACGTGACTGGTTACTATCTGCCTTCACAACAACGACAACAGCCACGTATCCTACATCGTGATAGACCTGTTCCAGTCATCTATGATTTGAGACTAATATTACCCACTAGTCAAAGGTTAACCGGTAGTTATTTAATTGATTATTCTCCTACAGATCAAATGTGTACATGGAATCAACAACTAATAACATTTACGGGTAAACCAGATCTGACACAATGTTGGAAATTATTATCATTTCTATTAGGTGTCGATGAACAAAAATTACCTACAACAGAATGGTATTCATCACCTATTGCAAGGGGTATTATCAGTTTCTTCGTATGAGACGTGAAAAAAAAGGAAAAAGAAAGTTTTCCTTTTTTACTTAGGTCTAATTGAGCATACGGTTGAATTTTATCGCTCCGAAGGTGATATACAATCATTAGCAATATTTTTAATGAAAATTTTTAAAACACCTTATATGAATTCACCATCGTCTAAGTATGATTGTTTATTATACGGATATTCATCTATATGACATCGTTGAAAATATTTTTATAAACGCACACAATATTTATTTATTTTATTACAAGCGAATAATTTTTGTTTACAAACACATACTACTACTATTCCTTTAATTAACTGAGAATGAAGAAAAGTAAACAGGAAAACGAACGCTGTACCCAGAGATTAGTAATCTAGCGAATTAAATTGTTCTTTCCAATTAGACACACATTTCGCTGTACCATTAGGTCATTAGATACAGAGCCTACTTGGAACCAAAACGACCCTCTCCTTAGCAAATCTCTCGGAAGAAGTAATCAAATCAATTAGAACCGAAAATGAAGCTTCTATATACATTTATATAAAAATTATTATAAAAAGAAATATTGTGTAACAGTGGAATAGAGGGATGGATGAACAGCGACCGACCGGAATATATTTTGAAACACTATCTAAGATTAAAACATTTTCTTATCATGAATCTGACGACATAGTGATAGAATACTCATAGAAAATTATTTTGTTAGAGGAGAATTTCATCATCATAAACACAGTATGAGTACTTACATGTGTAAGTGGTCCGCGTCTAGACAATTAAGAATTTCTCACAGTAGTGCAAAAAGACATGTATAAAACAGATTAGAATTTATCATATGGGAATCCCTCTATCACACAAGCTTTCAACAAATTTTACTTTTTGTAGAAATCACTTTCTCCTCTTTGGCTCTCTACTCGTTTCTCTGTTATTTAATAATTGCACTTTTTTTCAATAATCTCTCTGTCTGTTCCTAAGCCTTTTATTTCTTTTGTTTCCATTAATTTTACTTAATATGCACTGGTCAACATAGTTGAACTATATTTTCTCATTTCTTGCTTATACTATGTAGAATAGCCATTTAGAGTGATTTTTCTTGTGCAACTAAGCAACAAAAGACGACTATACTTACTCAAAGTTCACTCAAATAACTAAGCGAAGCCTAGTTATATACTCTAACAAAGCTTTAAATCATCACACACCCTTTTCTTCGAAAAAATTGCTGCAGTTTAAAAGCGCTACGTTCAATGAGAATAACCCTACTCATTTAGCGCCGACTATAAAAGTAATTATCTTTGAAACCATTATATGTGTAAAGATGAAACTTTCAGACAATGTATAAGTAATAGTGACTATTCCTTTCCCAAAATTTCAGCTCGATCCGTCTGGCGCAAAAAAAGTCGATTTTTCAACCTATCTCATAATGTTTTTCATCGTCAACGTCTAAAGTTGATAATGGAGCATGTTTGACTGAACGAGTGACGCCTAGTACCGTTGATGGTTGAATCGATAAATTATACGAGCTGTTCGCGCTGACATTAGTAACAAATTGAAATGACCAGCTAAGTTTGACACAGACAAAGAAAATAAGGATCATAGAGAGTTCACATTTCGTAATTCAGGTGGTAACGTATTAAGAAATAATAGTGGTATCGCTAGTGGATCATCATCAACGTGATGAAATAATAATTGACTAACACTAGGAGATTGTAAAACATTAACCAACGCTTGTTGAGGAGAAAGATAAGCAGAAAAAAGCTGTTCTCGACGATGAGAAAGATCTTGAACAGTTGAATCTGTTAAACCAGGTAAATCATCATCACTAGCATTCATGTGAGCCGATGCCAATGTGCGCACAACAAGAAGATCAGAAGCATCATGTTTTTGTTGGCTATTAACGGTGGATCGAATACTGGTGCTACTACTGAGATAGATTCTATTGGTGGAGAGACTTAGGTTGAACAGGTTTTCGCAGAAGAATTAGAGTCTTGATAACAAATATTCTCATCAGGAGGAAACTAGACTACTTATTATTGGAAACTGATTGAGCATTCGTTCGATAAACGATTGTCTTTCCTCGTCATTTTGAGCTGTACCATCATGTGTTGTTATATAGTCAAATGTATCTTATAGCTGAGGAATAGGGCTGAGAGAATCCTATAGTCCATTAGTAGCAACACTAGAAACACTCGGCTAGTTTAAGTTTAGAGGATTCTTCTCAATCGTATGTTTTAGCCGCTTGTTGAAGAATATCGTAAACTCGTTTACGCGATGAACTTTATGTGATGATTCGATGATAGACACTTAAATCAACATATTTTGTACTTTCTCGTATACAATTCGAAATAGCAGCTAGTGAATTTCCGAAAGAATATCTCAGACCAAGAACAATTTCTCTTTCGAGATCAGCTACTTTTCGATATGTGTGTCGCCTCTACTGGGCACTCGTTGCTGATTCTGAATAAATACGACAATAAACGTTAAAAAAAGTACAAATATTTCAAGACGAAGAAGCAAGAGAACTCGTTTTCTCCGTCGTTATGACACACGTAAACACATAACATATCACACGGAAAGAAATGATCTGTAGCTCAAGCGCGCACGTAGAAACTAGAGAAAAATAACACCTTTTGTCTAAAATTTGCATTGAGCAACATATACTTTATGATGATTCCTGTTTTTAATCTAATTCTTTCAACATCGTTCGTACGTCGAAGCCCTGAACCAACAGATGAAGAGCTGGCGGTGATCTCATCCTGAGAGGACTAAATAGGCACCAACTCTAATTTTTCCAGTTCTAATTTCAATTTTTAGAACTGGAATTGTAGACCAAATTTTTTGTCTGCTGTTATACAACAGTGATCACCATATGTTTTATTTCAGCCACACAGTTTATATGAATTCTAAAAGTTTTAAGGTAGTTTATTATGCAGCCCGTGACATTCTGTATCAGATGAGGTATCCCTTGAATTTTTTGTTGAGTCGTTATTCTACAAATGAGACTTTAATCTAGCAGAGTAGACTAAATTAACGTTAATAAGTACTAATTAGTAGTAATAGGGAGGAAAGAACAAAAATGTTCACATATTTTCTCGTAGTAAATATTCTTCGCACGTTTCTCTATCGATAGGCAAGAGCCAAGGTCTTATGGTGAATGGAGAATGGATAGGAAATTTTTTAATAATAGCCTCATGCTCAAAAATTTTACATCATTTTTTAAGTAAGGTGCCGGCAATTCAAAAGATAAGCAAAATGATTTTTTGATTTTTTTTTGATCATTAGATCGAGCTCATCGAGTTACCTAGAAAAAACTGAAACGTGGATTTTTGAAAGTCTTTTTTCATTTAAAAAATTTTAAAATATTGATTTTTTAAAAATGGGCAAAATTCAGCCAAATTTTGAAAAAAAGCAAAATTTCAGGGTCTATTGTTTTTTTAGAATTTTGATACTATCTTTTTTGTGATTAAAATTGAATATAAAAAGTAATTCAGATACTTTTAGAACCTGATTGGCCGACTGAAATCGCTGAAGACCGGGCAGACCGGATGGAACCCCACCCGAACTTCTGGTAAGCCTATCTAGTTTTTGGTCAGCAGTTAGGCACGTTTTTTTTTCTTTATTTAAGTCATCACACTTGTGGGAAAAAAAGTTAGTATCGATTTTGGTGGTATTTGTCTGATATTTGTATTTTGAAGATATTTGTCTTTCAGATTTCTATAATTATACAAGAGTTTTTAAAATAAAGCTGAAAGATGGATCATAGTGAATCGATTCCCTCAATAAAAAACATACCGAACATTATTTTTAAGCACAAACAAATTCCATGACGACATCCGGATCGTAGCGGATTTTCTATGATACTCACCCACCCTCATCAGTGAGATCAGACACGATGAATATTTTCACGTGATTAATGATATTCAAAAATGGTTGATGAAAAAAGCTTTAGAATAGTTTTTTTATAATTCAAAAGAGTCTGGAAATTTAACATGCGACGGTTGTAGATCATTGAAAATTTGTTCAAACGATGGTCTTCTGCGAGGATCACGATGCCAGCATTTTTCAATGGTGGTTTTCAAGAAGGTTCGAGTTCTCGAATTGACTGTTGGTCGATTGCCTGATGTAGCACAGCTGCAAAGGGTCCTCGCCCGAGGAAGTTTCGAAATTGGTCTGCATATGGTTCTTCTTCTTGAATAACGTCATTAAACACGACACCAAATGAGTAGACATCACTCGAATATTCTGGTGGATTTGAACTACATAACAGTTCAGGAGCCATATAACCTGAAGTGCAGAAAAACTGGGTGGTCGATCCATTTTACTCGACTGGACAGAGGAAGCGGGATTTTTTGAGGAGCTGTATTGCTTAAGTTTGAGTTCCTTTTTCTTCTGTCGTTTTCGTTGGTTCTTGGTGAGGTTTTGCTTTTGCTAAAAAGAGACGAGTGATATAATCACATTAGCAAAGTTAATAAAACGCACTACCCCAAGCGTCAAAAAAAAAAATCTAGTATCGCCCGATTCATCTAGATTATTAGATTTTTACTCGATTGCAACTAGTGTGTAACGACAGTGGAAATCTAGTAACTGGGCGATTATTAGATTTTTTCTAGTTGCAACTATCGATTTATCGCCCGATAATCGATCGATTTAACTATTACTACAGTAATAGTTAAATATAGATGCACCTGCAGACGCATCTAGTTAAAAGTCCCTTTTCCAACTAGTAATCTAGATGGCAACTAGTCGTGTATCGCCCGATTACAGACGAAATGTATCTAGATGTTTCCCATAGGTGATATTTGCTTGGGACGTACCGTGGTCTCAACTGGAGATACTCTTCCAGTGTTGAGATTTTTACGTTGGGGCTCATTTACAGTCGAAGAAGGAGGGTATGGATAAAGCAATGTGGTATTTATTGTTGGACTTGATCCAATATATGTTATATTTTTGCCAGTATTCTGTTCATGTCAGTACATACGTTGACCAGCGTCTTGATAATCCATTTACACTCAGAACTTAATAGGTGCAGGTCAGTGTCCGCTTCTGTTGAAATCACGCCATGTTCTGCAGCAGTTTGAAAACTTTCTGGAACAGTCTGAACGATTGGTCTTGTATTCTTATTCTTTGACAATCCGAAATACGTCACCAGCGATACCTTTTTTCTCTCATATTCATTCTCAAAGTGTACTTTTCCATATTTTGAACACCCTAACGCAAATTGGTTCTGTTGGTCCTGGAGCACTTTTTTCCAGAACAAGACTTTGTCGGCTAAACTGGACGTCGTAAATGTATTGATTGGGTCGAAAGAATTGTCACTTGGTAGTTTATTGGGGTCTCGTAGATATAATGCATCTAGCATGGTCTCAATTCTCTCTTCTTCGTCTTCATCACAATATGTAGCACATACTTCAATATCTAATTCTCGTTCAGCAATATCGCGCGGTGTGATGTTTTCAGAAGGAGTCTTGAGATCTGGATTGCTGGAGTCTGTAATGTGTGTCGTCTCCACAGAAGGAGTTATAGCTACCTCCAATCGGCTTAACTTGATGCAATATATGTCGAATAGAACAGAGTATCCTTGAAAAGATTTTTGGTCGAATAAGGTTTGTATTTCGGGGTGTAACGAAAGAAACGTCTCCAAGTCGTGTTTGATCGAATCTTTTTCGAGAAAGTCTTTGATTATTGATCGATAGTCATTTGAAGCCGAGTAATCCAACTTTTCTTCAATAAGAGATATCATCTCCTCTACCGACAGTTTATATTTTTTTGATAATTCAATGAGGCAATTACACAATTCTGTAATGAACTCGTCGCTTATAGTAGAATCATTTGCTGCTTTTCTGGCCAGCTGGTGCAGCGTTCGATTATTGAAAAAATCGTCAAACGGTTTATTAATTGGCTTTAAAAATGCCGCGATGTCATCGACTGGCGCGTTTATAAGTTCGCGGAGCAGTTCTCGTCGTTTTCTGTGTCGCTTCTGTTCGTCAAGACTCCTGCGAGCCAAATCAGCCACTGGAGGTGTCAGACGTCGAAGATCATTATACAAGAATAAGTGAAGCTTCACCATGAGGGAGAGAGCGGTGCAAGACTCCTTTGTAATTTGATCAAGAAGTTATTCTGATTCTCCAGGTAGCTCTTTGAATTGCTGCGTCAAATCATCATTTGTGTCTTTTACGATGGGCTCAACTATTCGGCAGCGTTCCATAAGCTTCTCCCGATCATGTTCTAAATCGCTATCTAATATCGATTCAATGCAATTAGAAAATGCGTTGTACAGTTTGTCATTAAGTCGGTGACGTTCAAATAATTTTCGTAGTAGATCGGCAATTTTTTGCCTTATATCAGTCATTGCAGATAATCTAAAACTGGCGATTCTATTAACAAATGTGAGCAACCATCAACAGAACCATACAAAGGAGTCCAAACAAGTTCAGAAACCGAATGTAATACTCCGGGAGTCTTTTCTTCATCCTCTCTCTGATATTCATCCACCGTTTGGATTAAGCATATATTTTGGCGGACAAAATATTAGATCATCAAAGTATTGAGAGACTGTATCAGATTGCTTTAATACAATATAAAAAACTATTTCTTCGAGTCATCCTTCTGACTTTTGACAGCTTAAAGTGGCGATATCATTGATATCACTATTTCTTCATAGATTGTCTTTTTATAGAGACTGGCCAGTTGCAATCCGTCCTCACGTATGTATCCATATAATCTGCTAGCCTGTCACTGAATTTTATTCGAAGAATAAAATCACAAACACATTAAAACAAAAAACTACCTCCGTGTGCACAAACAAACACTATATATAAATGAGGAAAGAATGTTGACTCAACCAGAACTGAATCAACGTTCTTTGTGACCATGAGACGATAACAGATGATGAAAGAATGTTGTGAGTTAATATTCTTTCACTAGAACTTGAAAAGAGAAAAAGAAGAAGAATATATGACTATGTCAGTATTACTGACATAACACTCCCGGCACCAAAAAAGATGAGCCTCCTAGCTCATCGAAAAAAAATTAACTGTTGACAAAAGAAGGAAGATAAGCTTAGTCAAACGATCGTTCATAAACCCGCAATAAGTTATTAACGTGTGCCATGAATGTACCATTACCATCATCTAACATGTAATTGAGTGCAGTAATCTTATCAGTATTTGATACTGGCCACGGTAACGTTCATCTAATTTTGTTCGCTCAACTAACACCTTAAGCCAAACTAAATCGCCAATGTTGTAGGATGGGCTGCTTCGATTCTGGACGTAACGTTGTTTTGTCAAGGTTTGGTGGTGTTGGATGTTGAAACGAGCCATCTTGTTAGCATGTGTTTTAAATTGTTGAACTTGTATCCAATAATCATTTGGACGAGAGAATTTAAAATCTGTTCTTGTACGATCAAAGGGGTTTCGTGGTTGTCGTCCGAAGGCCAATTGATACGGGGTGAATCCCGTGGAACGATGTTGACCGTGATTATACGCATACACGATTGAAGGTAAGTAGACATCCCAATTCGATTTTTCTTCATTACAATATTTTGCTAACTGAGTGGCAAATGTTGCATTGAAGCGCTGCGTTTGACCATTAGTTTGAGGATGATATGGTGTTGTGAATACGTGTTTCGATCCGACGAGTGTAGATATGGCTGACATTAATTCGTTGTTGAAATGTTGGCCCAGATCAGTGATTATTTTGTCCGCAGCACCGCGGATGAGGATAACGTTTGTCCATTACAATCTGAGCTGTTGCTTGTGCTGTATTATTTGTAGAAGCCTTGGCAATGACGTAGCCAGATAATCGATCAGTGATAACTAAAACGTATTTGTTTTCATTAGATGAGACAGGTGCTGGGCCCCACTAATCGAGATCAAGTACTTGAAAGACTTCCGAAGGAGGACTGATGGGTTGTAATAAACCAGGTGGCTTTTGACGTTGTATGTTAAATTTCGAACATTCAGTACATGAGCGGATGTATTTTTCAATTGACTCTTTCATGTTAGGCGAATAATACTTATTTTTAATGTTTCTCCAAGTACGTTCAACGCCAAAATGTCCGGCCATAGGGTGATCGTGATGTGTGAACAGGATATCTTTGATTACTGTTTTCGGAACATAAGGAAGACGAAGGTTAGTTTTTCCGCGTGGTATTAATTTAAACAGGACGCCATCTTTGATTACAAACGAATGTTTAGACGGATCTAGTTGAACTAGTTTGAGTTTTTCTAAAATTTCGTGGTCGATGGACTGTTCAGTTCGAATTCGATCAAGACTAAACAACAATGGTGAAGATGAAGGTGATGATAAGATTGTTGATGGCAATGTAGATGAAGTAGGTGGAAAAAGAGGAGTTATTAAAGAAGTTGTTGAGGCTTGTTTTTTGGTTTGTTGACGTGTTATGACTGTATTTAATTTTTTATGTAGATTTTCCAGACTGTTGATTTCAAAGATAACTGCACACACAGGTTATCGCCTACATTGGATCTTGTCACAATGGTTGCTTTTAGATTAAAGTTCAAAAATCTACTGAATAAATAACGCAATTTTTGATTATTTTCATGGAAAATTAAAAAACTCATAACTCAGTCAAAATCGATCTAAACAATGACAGAACATCAAGATAAGTTTTATGTATCTGGGTAATCTGATTCTATACTAAAAACTAGTAAAAATCACTTTGATATAAGCTTTATTCTGTCAGAATATAAACGGAAAAATATTCCATTATAGTATTCTAAATTACAACTATCGGAAAACACAAAATCAATTTTGTACGAATAGAGATTCGAACATGCGGATTTAGTTTTGCAATTTCTGCAGTCCACTGTTCTGTGTCTATATTCTGTACAACGATTGAAGTTTTGCAATCAAATCAATTTTATCAGTAGTCATTTTTTTTAGTATGTTTTCTGTTTTCTGTCAGAATACAGGCGGAAAAATATTTCATTATAGTATTCTAAACTAAAAAGTTACTTTCTCACCTAGAACGATTTCTAGAAACCTTTCTCAAAAACCGTAGTATGTTAAAAGGATTTTCAAATGTTGACTGAACTTTATGACACATTGTCGATAAAATACAGTATTTTCTCATATTATTTCATCTAATGTTATTTTCCACATACCTCGTAATTGAAAATAGCATGGATCGTGTAACGGATCTTTTCGATACCCATGGGGAAAGTTTAGTAGGTACCGCGGTGTGCAAACGCGTGAATATCGTGAAATGACTTGTGGTGGCACGTGAACATAATAATACTTATTTTTACATTCATACTCATTTTTACATTCATATTTTTACATTAATACTCATTTTTGTATTTAATCGTGTGAGGTATGATAATGTACGCGGTGGTTTAATCTCCCAAGTTTCTGTGCCTGGTGGCCAATCATTATCGTTGTCCAATGAAATCGGTAGATGTGATGATGATGCCGACACGATCGGATGTTTCGAGAGATAGTCGGGACCGGTGTTCTTATCACGGTGTAAATGTTTAACCTCAGTAATTTGAGGGATGATATCTTGCAATTCAAACAGCCAATGGATTACATGTTTATTATCGATTTGTTTTTTGTGAAAATTTATCAGTGGTTCGCTGTCAGTTTCAATAGAGAAAGCTGAATCACCGATATACTGACGAAGTTCTTTTATACACCAATACATTGCCAGTGCTTCTCTTTCTAATGGATCATAACGTTTTTCAGTGTCAGTCAACGTCCGAGACTTATAATAACAAATTCGAGTACCTTGTGAAGTATTTTGACGTAATATGCCACTAATGCCAATAACCGATGCATCGGTGGATAATATGAATGGTGACGTTGGATCGGGATACTGCAGAAATAATGGTTCACTGGTTAATATTCGTTTGAATCTATCAGATGCTACTTGTTGTTCATCATGCCAATGAAATTCATGTTTTGTTTTCTTGGTTTTATTTGTTACTTTATGAATTGGTGCAGCAATTTCGGCAAAATGTGGAATAAATTTTCTGTATTTCAAATGTGGAATAAATTTTCTGTACCAATTTAATTTTCCCATGAATTCATTTGCTTCGTTCAATGTATGAAGAGGTGATAATTCAACAATGGCTCTAGTTTTTTCCGGCGATGGTAGAATTCGATCTTTATTAACAATATGACTTAAATAGTCGATCTCTTCAACCACAATCGTACATTTCTCAGGATTAAGTTGAAAATTGGCCTGGGATAGAATTGTTAAAATTTCATTCAAATGGCATTTGTGTTCGTCGAGAGTTTTAGAAAATATCAAAATGTCATCCAGGTAAATCACCACGTAATCTCATCTCCCATTACCTATCAAATTATGCATCACTCTTTGAAAAGTAGGTGGGCCATTCATAACAGCTTGCGGTAATGCATTAAATTCCCATAGACCATCTTGTGTAACGAACGCGGTTTTTTCTTTATCTTGTTCAAGGATTGGAATTTGAAAATAGCCAGATTTTAAGTCTAATTTTGTAAAGTATCGATTGTCGCCTAATCGTTGTAACAATTCCTCCGTTGTCGGTTGTGGGAATGAGTCCTTTTTTGTAACGGAGTTCAATTTAGGATAGTCGACTAAGAATCTAATACCACAATCCTTTTTCTTATGTAAGATCACGGATGATGACCATGGTGAATTTGAGGGACGAATCTGATTGTTTGTCATCATTTCGTGTATGATCCTCTGTAGTTCTCGTCGCTGTTCGATGGTTTTTTAATATGGACGGGAAATCGGAAGAGCATCTGCAGTATTGATTGTGTGACGGATAGAAGTTTTCGCTTGTGTAATTTTCGAGAGATCGAAAAGTTTAGCATGGGATGATAAGATATTGGTGAGGGCTGTGTATTGTGTTGGATCGTGTATATGAGTTACGAGTTTTTGGATAGTTTCTGGTGTGGGTAGAGGTAAATATGACGTGTGTATTGAGTTGAGAGGCGAAACGACTTGTCTTCGAGCAGCTAAAGGTGGTTTTACTACAAAGCTTTCAGTGTCGCCAGGCGTATGTGTAATTTGTCCGATAATAGCGTTTTTGTATAACGTTCGCGGACGGTTGCTTTTGTTATAGATTTTGATGAACGTTGAATAATTTGCGACTTTTAACATTGCTGGAACAATCGAAATAGATTTACATTGTAAAAGTCTGCATCCGGATAGAAGTATGCAGCTTTTGCTGAGGATATATCGACTTTTGCTTGTATGATAGACACTTCTCGTGGTGGAACGGTAATTGAGTTAATTAATTTGACAGCTAAGGCAAGACTATCAATATGTTTGTCAAAAGGTGCCGACGATCGGCCATTATATGAACGAACGGGTACTTGGTGACGATCATACTCTATTCGTGCCCCAGTGCAAAAAAACCAGTCTGAGCCAAGTATAAAATCTGAATTCAAATGCTTGACAACTAACGCTGTAATTGGTGTGACGGTGTCGTTCAGTCGAATATGGAGACGAACTTCGCCTAATAGGGGTAATAGTGTTGATGTGTCAGCCAAATGTGCTACGGCTTTTGATGGAAGTATTTGGCTATGTCGAATCTTTGAAAGTGCTGCTAATGTGATGAACGAGTACTCAGCTCCGGAGTCCAGTTGTACGCGTGTTTTCCGATTATTTATGAAGACGTGAGCATAAATTAGAGATGGGTTAGATTTACGCGTAGTTCTTTTAGGTCGTTCTAGACAACATCGACTAAAGTGACCGTGATTATTACAATAATAACAGCGTGTTAATCGAGAGAAATGGCGAGCACCTAGTTGTGGTGTAGAAACAGTGTTAAGTGAAGTAGATTGTGCCAAGTGAGATAGTTGATATGTAAGATTACAATCGGTTTCACACGACGATGATACGTGTTGAATAAATTGTTGATCTTGCTCTAAACGTTGAATAAATTGAAGCAATTGTTGTGGCGAGGTAAATATGTTGCCTGAACATTGATTCAATAAAGTAGTGTTCATGCCCAACTTGAGCCAGTCTAAACATTCTTCATTTGTCATTAAAGGATTGTATCAGGCACATAACCGGATCATATCATTATAATAAGCAGTGAATATCTCGGTATCGCCTTGTTTCCGGCACAGAATTTGTTGATGAATGATGGAACCTGATGGGTCTGGTGGTGATGGAAAATTATCTTTTAATGCATTCTGAAAATCACTCCATGTCTCAAATTTGATTTGTTGTCTGTTGTACCGCTTCATCAGAAAGGAATCCAATGGCCCATTTACGACGTTGCTGTTCTGGTAATTCACATGCATCAAATACTTGATTAATTGTCAATAGCCAATCATTGACACGTTGTTGTGTAGTACCACTAAATTTTGATAAGTTTTTCAAAACTTTCTCTAACAATAATGTATTAACGCGATCCATTTGTAATACCACAATAAATGGAACCACGTCGGCTTGTGCACAATTTGATAGCCTGTCACTGAATTTTATTCGAAGAATAAAATCACAAACACATTAAAACAAAAAACTACCTCCGTGTGCACAAACAAACACTATATATAAATGAGGAAAGAATGTTGACTCAACCAGAACTGAATCAACGTTCTTTGTGACCATGAGACGATAACAGATGATGAAAGAATGTTGTGAGTTAATATTCTTTCACTAGAACTTGAAAAGAGAAAAAGAAGAAGAATATATGACTATGTCAGTATTACTGACATAACATAATCTATTTACTAATTTCTGACACCAGAAGGGGCAGAACAAAAACGATCTTTTGCAGAAATGCGCTTTTTTCATTCAACGAATTAACTGCATCTGTCAGAAACCTTTCTTTTACATCGGTTTAAGCACCAGTGGTGCAACTTTCCCAGACACGTACGTTATTTTCAAAGAACGCTAATGGTGCGAATCACATCTCTCGCTACTGAGGGACTAGCGGCATACCTACTAAACTGTTGCGTTGTCTATGATGCTTCTACTGTGTTTTTCAGCAAAAACTAGGTCTTTGCGTTGCTCAAAAAACGTATATTCTCATTTCGATTTTAGTCAGTCTTTTTTCAAATTGTAGCATAAACTGATGTGCACCATTTCACAATGTCTATACCGAAAAATAATGCAAAAGAAGCACCACAGTACAAGTAACACTACATGGAGGTATATCTCCCGTTCGATACCAACTACTCTCTAAAAAAAGGCTCCATACTAAACCATTAAGGTTTCGTGTATTTTTCGAAACTTTTAATGGTTTTGTAGTGAAATTTCAAAATTCAAAGGGTTTGTTAGACGGTACGAAACCTCAAAACAAAATATTTTTCTACAAGGTTTTGTACAGAGTATACGAAACCGGCGAAGTGGTTTCGTAGCATTAAAGGTTTAGTAGAAATTTCACAAAATCTTACGAGTTTCGTATCGCATTAAACTCTTCTTCGATGAAAGAAGAATATGTTGAAAAACCAATAAACAATTAGTAGCAGATATTTATTAGTCTTAAGATAGTTATCGAAAAGACGTTGTCTATTTGAAACACGCGATTTATGTGAATACCATTAGGTGGAGCTATTTTTTTTCCGCTGTGATTGGACTAATACAGAAACCAATAAATGACAGAATGTGAAAGATGACTATTTTATTTCTTATCTTTGCTTTTTGCATGAACTATAGCCTACTTCATCGGGGAAAGTTAAATCTACTGTCTTCCCGTACCATTCCTTCCTCGGTTAGTTAAACCAAGTTTAGAAATGTTCACACGATCTAAAAAAGTTCAATAACGGTTAAGGATTGAGGAACATCTTTGGGAAAGCCATGTGTCTTTTTTGCATAGCTGAGTGTACTTACTTTATTATGTTTAACAAACATAATAAAGCACTTGGGGCAAGCAACTTGAAGTATTAATAATACTTCAAGTTTTATCATTTGCTGATCTCTCATAATTCACTCGTGACATGTGAATAACAATTTAGTGTTAGATTAGTATAACAAACTGAGTGTAGAAAAAAGAAATAGAGTTGCTTCTTTTTTATTTACAACTGATCTAAATCTGATGCACAACCGAGCATAATGACTCCGAGTGTGTAACGAAATATGACCTATTCTTCCACTAGCTAATCACTTTCACTCTCTTCCAATCATGATTCATCCCTCTCTCATTGTGTGTGGTATTCATTCACTCTCTTTTTGTATGTATTCAATGTCGGTCTCGGCAGTTAATATCAATATCGTTCACTTCAGACGTTTTGTGCCATTATTGTAAGCATATACTGGTATTTATTCGAAGCTCGTTTTTTCCCTGCTTTTGTACCACGCAGAGCTGGACAAGTCAGGATTTTT